AGTGGGCTCGCTGCGGCGTGGGTACTGTTTGAAATGCCCACCATCTGAGAATCAGACTTCCTGACTTCCTGACTCGGATTATTAACCTGTATCTGGTGGACTCAGTTTCCTCCTCTGTAAGATAAACATCTATGCCTGGATAATCACTGAGGTTCCTTTCCATGACAACAGGGGACGGATCTAGGAACAAGGGAACTGGGTTTGGGCACCAAGTCCTCAGTAAGGCAAGACCCATAAGCAAACTGTCTGCTGTCAAGATCTATCCACAAGCCACAGGAAGTTCCCTACAGGGTTAATTATAACAAAGAGAAAATTGGAAACCAAATTAGAGACATTTTCGAATTTACTTGGAACTAGTTTTAGACTTAAAGGGAAAAATTGCATGAATTGTTGAGTTTCCATATACCTCACCCAGCTTCTCCTAATATTTTAATTGTCTCATTCTCCTTAATGCTCTAAAATATAAGTGGGTTCTATCTAGTTTGGGGTCTTTATTCTCTCATCCTGCTCTGTGCTTGGTGTCTTTGCTCAGCACTGGCAAACTATCTTCTATTATGTCTTTGATTATTTCCTCATTTCCACTGTCTCGATTCTCTCTTTAGGGAACTCCTAGTCATTGGGGATTTGACCCTTGTATACTGATCATCTATGTCAACTGTTCTCCCATGTTTACCTTCCGAGAGATTTTCAAAAATGTTTCTTCCTGGTGTTAAAGCACATTTCTTTCTTAAGACTATTACAGCAATAATAGTTTCAATTTAGAGCAAGGTTTCTCATATTGGTACTACTGGCATTCTAGGATAGGTAATTCTTTGTCTTCGGGAACGATCCTGTGCACTGAAGGATGTGTAGCAGCATCCCTGGCCTCTATCTGCTAGATGCCAATAGCACCGGAAGCCCCATCATCACAATCAAAATATCTCCAGACGCCGCTAATCACCCCACGTTGAGACAACTGATTTAGAAGAACTCTAATTTCCCTTATTTCTTCTCTTTTTCGTTTGGCCACAGTCACTAATACAATTAGGGCTTGTTAAATTTCTCTTCTGTGTCTTGAATTATTTCTGTATTCCAGAGTCAAATGTTCTGTTTGTTCATCTTGGTTCTTCTCTATTGTTGAGATTTCCTGCAATCGTCTGGTGGTTTTGACTTTCTGTATATATTTACCAATGCAGGGCTTCATCAATTAATATAAGTCACTGGATTGAGTCTCCAGTTTTTTTAGTAGGTTTTTGCCCCCAACAGACCTCTTCCCTGAATCAGAGTGAACTCGGGGTGAAGTGTATGAGTAAGCAGGCTTCACTATAGGATGGACGAGTTCAGAGCAGGCAGACAGAGCAACTGATCACTTCACCAAATGTCAGATCACAGTGTGTTTACTCTGCGGCACTAACGCCCATACCAATGCTCTAGAGAGGTCTTCCAATAATCACCCTCATTCCTGCCTCTTCTCCAACCCTCATACTCTGTAACCTACTGAACCCAAGCCAGGAATGTCTTGAGGCTCCAGGAAAGAATAATTCCCATATTGAACCAAACCATGACCACCTGGCCCTAGGTGTGCTCTGGGCCCCTTCCTCCAAATGTCCTTCAATAAGTAAATGATTAAATAAATTGTGTTACAACCATACCATGGAATAAAATTGTGTTACATCCATACCATCAATAAAAAAGAATAAGCTACTGATGCCTGCAACGATTTGATTGGATCTCAAGGGAACTATGCTGAGTGAAAAAGCCAGTCTCACAAGGTTATATAGTGAATGATTCCATGACAAAATTCGTAGAGGTGGAGAACACATTAGTAGTGGCTGGGAGTTAGGGATGGAGGGGGAGTGGCACAGCACAGGTGTGATTATAAAGGGTAGCACAAGGGAGATCTTTGTGATAATGGAATACTTCTGTGTCTTGATTGTGCTTTTAGTTACATGAATATACACATGTGATAAAACTGTAAACACAAACACACAGAGCATGTAAAAGTGATGAAATCTGAACAATCTCTGTAGCTTGTATCGAGGCTGATTTTCTGGCCTGGATATTGTACTCGTTATCCAAGACACTACAAGTGGAGCACCCTGGGTTAAGGGTAACTCCCGTCACGGAACCTATAAGGAATCTCCCTGTACATGATTTTTTTCAACTCCCCATGACTCAACTGTTATTTCAAAATAAAAATATTTTTAAATGAGGTAACTGTGACTCCACCTTCATGCTCACCTCCATACATTCATGACCTTCTCCGGACACAGTGAACACTCCATCTCCCATTCTTAGGCAAATAGGGGTTTTATTCCTTCTATCATCTTTCCAGTGGGATTTTTGGAGGTAGAGGAAGCAAACTCTTTGTGTTCACGTATGTGCAGACAGCAACCCTGAATTGGAAAGCATGCGTGCATTCCTTTTGAATTAAGAGAACTATAAGGAGGGCTCAAAAGGTTGAGTTAATCGAAACCCCAGCTTAAAAAGAATAGAGATTTAGGGCTTCCCTGGTGGTGCAGTGGTTGAGAGTCCGCCTGCCAATGCAGGGGACACGGGTTCGTGCCCCTGTCCGGGAGGGTCCCACATGCCGCGGAGCGGCTGGGCCCGTGAGCCACGGCCACTGGGCCTGCGCATCCAAAGCTTGTGCTCTGCAACGGGAGAGGCCTCAACAGTGAGAGGCCCGCGTACCGCAAAAAAAAAAAAAAAAGATTTAAAAAGAGTAAGTTACATTTAGAAATATGTTATGTACTTATTTGTTTAGGAACTCTAAACTCTATCTATGAAATGAAGTAGCACATCAGAAATGTTGGACATTGTCAGACCATGTCAACTGAGCATACTGTAAAATTCCCCTTCACAGAGTTGTAGCTTTAGTTTTGGTTGACGATCTTTCCAAGGACCATACATGTCAAAAAGGCCTTTGCATGCACTGTGGAACTTCTTTTAAAGATATTTTCCCACAGCTTACTCAGTGTCTCATCTGAGATATCACTTTATAAATCTCCTTTAGAGCAGTGATTCTCAAAATGTGGTCCTTGGACCAGCCGCATCAGAATCACCTGGACAGTTGTTAGTAATGCAAATTCCCAGGACACACGGACTCAGAAACTGGGGATGGGACCCAGAAATCTGTTTTTATAGACCCTCTAGGAATTTCCAATGCATGTCAGAGTTTGAGAACTACTACCTTAGAACTTAGTGATGGGTTCTCTGCTGTTGGATTTGGTTGCAGTGAGAAAGTTTTCTATGGTTTACAATAAGAGAAAAGGGCTTCCCTGGTGGCGCAGTGGTTGAGGATCCACCTGCCAATGCAGGGGACACAGGTTCGAGCCCTGGTCCGGGAAGATCCCACATGCCACGGAGCAACTAAGCCCGTGCGCCTAGAGCCCGTGCTCCACAACAAGAGAAGCCACCGCAATGAGAAGCCCACACACAACCAAGAGTAGTCCCCGCTCGCCGCAACTAGAGAAGCCCACGCGCAGCCACGAAGACCCAAGGCAGCCATAAGTAAATTAATTAATTAATTAATTAAAAGAAAGAAAAAAGAAAACACAAGAGCATTTTAAAAATAGATACATAAAATAAGAGAAAAAATATGGAGTGATGGTGGAAATCCCTTATAAAATTATTTTTATTCTAACTTTCTGCCACTGGGAACCTTGTATATTTTAAATTTCTTTTCCTTTTTGGTTTCAGTTAGTTTGTTTTGCACTCGCTGCTAGGAAACTTAGAGTCAAATTGGAAGGTCAGCCATGGGAAATGTATTAATCCACAGAGTTATCACGTGGATTCCTTCCTCAATTTCCTTTCCTTGCCCCAATTTCTTATTTTTATTTTATTGGATTTTGTTCCTTTGGGGAGAATAGAAAGTTTTAAGTACAGTCAATAAATCAGAGAATCCTTTACAACAGTGGCAATGTGTTCTTATACGCTGCCACATGTTCTGTTCCGAGTATGAAATACAGCTTGAGCGAACAGATGTTACCAGATATTAAATTGTTTCAGAAGTAGATGAGAGAAGAGGAAAATCCAAATACTGCCCAGAAAAAAAAAATATTTTCATGTATAACTCCCAGGGATAGTCTTACAGAATAGAATTACTATTGCTCTTTTGTTTAAACATAAGAGAAAGCATTCAGGCTTAGATTTATTATATTAGTATATTAACCACTATTGCTCTTTCGGCTTCTTGCCTTTGGGTGATGTTTTCTTGCTGAGAATTATTTTCTATTTCCATCATGTTGAAACAAACAACGTGTGTTTCCATTGTCTTTTTATATTTTCTGAGCCAACAGTCTGATATAATTCCCATTTCAAAATGGATGCAGGGGACACAGGTTCGTGCCCCGGTCTGGGAAGATCCCACATGCCGCGGAGTGGCTGGGCCCGTGAGCCATGGCCGCTGGGCCTGCGCGTCCGGAGCCTGTGCTCCGCAACGGGAGAGGCCACAGCAGTGAGAGGCCCGTGTACCGCAAAAAAAAAAAAAAAAAAAAAATCAATAACTGTTTTTTGAACAACATGTGCTTCCTTTTTCTAAAAGTCTGAACTTCGGAAGATAGAGAAAAAGTATAAAATATATTCTCTGAAGACTGAAAACCGACTCGCATAGGGTGTTTGTGCTCCCACTGGACAGCACTGCTCTTGATCCTATGTTCCAGACCACAGAACTCCACATCCCTTCAAACCTGACCAACTCGTACTTGGAGACGCCGCCCGATCACTTGCTAGGAGCTGGTCCCAACCAGGCCCCTGACAACTGGCCAAGTCCCGTTCTAAATCAAGCAACTCCACAGAACCTTGAAGCTACCACTCAGCTGCTCCAGACACCAACACCTGCTAGAAGCCCGTGCGGCTCTCACCGACCACACAGAGCCCCGGGGCATCGATACGGTAACGCTCCAGGCGTCTGATAATTCTCTCAGAACCCAGCATGTGTATTACTTTCGAAAATGACTGCCGTAAGAAATCACCATATACCGAACGGCGCAGAATAATACAAATTTATTATCTTACCGTTCTGGAGGTCAGAAATCTGAGGACAGACTCGTTGGGCTAAAATCGGGAGGTGAGCAAGGCTGTACTTCTTCCAGGAGGTTCCAGAGGAGCATCTGTCTCCTTGCCTTTTCCAGCTTCTGGAGGCCACCTGCAACCCTTGGCTCTGGACCCGTTGTACCTGCAAGGCCAGCAGAAGCTGTTGACTCTCACACCCCGTACCTCAACACTGACGCTTCTTCGCCTCCTGCTTCTACTTTTAAAGACTCTTGTGATTACATTGGGCCCACCTGATACTCACAGGTTACCTGCATACTAGCCTCTATTAAGGATCGTTGATTAGGAAACGTTTCCATCTGCAGCCTTAATTTCCTTCTGCCACGTAACATGTTTACGACTTCTGAGGCTTAAGACAGGGTCATCTTAGGAGTCATTATCCTGTCTACCATGACCAGTGAGCCAACAAGTGAGTAAATGAGTGACCAACAGACTAGCCTGGTGGACTGACTGAGTGAGTGTCCAGCTCGGGGTGATGACCGCTCAGCTCCTTGAAAGCAGCCTGTCTCCAGGAGTGACTGGATGGCAGCGTGGGAGCTCAGCTTCCCCCACTCACTCCGCCGCCCCTCTGAGCTTCACTTGCCTTGCTTGTCACACGAGGTTAACAGGAATACCTATTTCGCAGGCTGATTGTGAACACAACATGAGAAAACATGTCAGTGTCCGGAATAGAGCAACAACACAAGAGAAAGGCATTGAAACAATGAAAATGGAAGAAGGAGGGGGGAGGAGGGGGAGGCGAGAGGAGGGGGGGGGGGAGAGGAGGGGGGGGGGGGGAGAACCAATGTTCCATGGTACTAAGGTATACTAAGTCTAGACACAGAGCATCCTAGAGCCGAAAGTATCTCGGCAATCATCAAATGGGAAAGAAAGGCAGAGACGAGAAACAATGTCATTCAACTGTGACAGATATAAGATTAGCAATCAGCACCAATTAGAAGCCATGAGACCTCTCTCTTCAATACCACTCAAGCCTTTATCAAGACTGTGATGCCGAGCAAGGATGCTCTGCATTAGCAGATGGTGGGTGTTCGCCCAGCCGTGGAGGACACTTCCTTCCAGCTCTGGCTGTGTAGGGAGCCCTGCCTTTCTGAGGCGTGGGAGCCACACTCTCCTTCAACTTTAAGATAATATTTCAGTCATATGGGGACATTTTTCACCATGGATACAAAGCAGGATACATAATTGTATATTCATGATAGCAGCAGTTATGTAGAAATAAACACTTATTTTACTTGAAATTATTGCAAAAAAATGTGTTCACATTGTTTATCTCAGTGTTGTATTTGCTGGGGGCTTTTCATTTTTTCCTAACTTTTCTTTGTTTTCCAGATATTCTAAGTGAGCACGATTTTTATAATAAAGAAATGTAGAGGTGCTTATCTTTTACAAAAAACCAATGAGAGAGATTACTTCTGGAGGACATTGATTTTGTTCTGTCATGACCCCAGATCTCTAGAACCTGGATGTTCAAAAGAAATATTTCCTTTGTACTCTGAAAAATACTTCTTCTAGCTATGTCTTCCCCTATTTCTAGGAGATCTCTGATTTATCCCACCTTGTTACACACACACACACCACCACCATCAAGAAACGTTCTAACGTTAACTACCTCTGTAAGCAAGCCTATGGACCATATAAAACTGAAATGTGCCCATCAGTGAAAACAAGAAATCAAAGCCTGTGGCTATGTTCACATCCCATAGTCACCATCATCAGCCTCGCTCAACCGAAGTTCTCTGGCTTCATGATGTTTTCCCTTTCTGTTATCGGTACATTCATTATCCAGGCAAACTCTTTTCTAATAGAATTTCATATCAAATAAAGAAACACACTGAGAGACAGTAACCCTAAAGAGGAACACAAGTCTAGTCTCTCATAACCCACATTCCCCTGGATGCAATTAGTGTAATCTCTTTCTGAACGTGCTCTTAAGACAGGCTTTTACCATGGACCATTTTTCATGTGTCTTGGTTTTTCATCACTCAATTCTTGAGTAAGACCACAGACATTAAAATGATAACATATCATGTTGAAATCATGGTTAAGTTCAAGGGGGAAATAACATGCTTTGTCTACAGTTAGAATGGAGGAAAGTGATTGCAGGTCACGGCTGCATCGTTTTCATAATATTTGGACTTGTTTCTTACTGTCACATTTGGGTTAATGGAGTTATATTTCGAAAGCTGGTCTAAAGTATTCAGAGGTCATTGTGTACATGGCGGGGATGGAGTGGGGGTGAGAGGCAAGTTTTCTCAGAACTTTAACAATTCGTTAAGATGGCAATCAGATCCCTATTACAGAAAGATCTCAAAGCCCCCAAATAAAAAGGGAAAGAAACGGTCTTACTCAAAAGTACCTATGAATTAAAAACCCATCTGAGAAAAAAGAAATCAAGCCCTACCTGATTTCCAAAACGATGATTCCCAACAAATCAGACTTATGAGATGTTCAGGGTTTATTATATTAATTATTAATAATACAGGGCTTCTAGGAGTCTCGTGAGTGATTGGCCTGCCCTTCTCTGTTGTGTCTCTGAAGATGCAGAAATTTCCCAATGTGGCCCCTGTCAGCCCAGCTTGTTTCCTTGTATCCTACATTCATTGACTTTTCCCCCAATTTTCCCCCACTGACTACCACCTCTTTCTGTAGCTTCATTCCCTGAAACCACCTGACATAAAGGAAGGTCATCAGCTCTCAGGGCTTGGAATTTACCTGATCTCACAAGCATGCTCATGTTTTCTAAAAATCTCCTGTCTCCACTTTGATAATAATTGTGATCATAATCACATTAACAGCAAACACTCACTGGATGCTTTCTATGTGCTAGGCATTTTTTACTTATTTCGTTTAAGTCCCGTGACCGCCACGTGATGTAGGTATCCATTATTAAACTCTCTGAGCCTCAGTGTTCTCATCTGTAAAATACGGGTATGTAAAATGACGAAGTTCACACAGTGGGTGAATACTAGGTCTGAGAATCACACCCAGGAATTCTTAATCCCAGAGTCCATGCTCTTAAATACTGCCCTATGCTTACCCTGGTCTACTTGCTATCAAAATTTCCAAGGTCAGCCTCATCCATTCGGATAATAGAACTTGTCTTCTAGACTGTATCATATTCCAAAGGATGGACATACATATATAGATAGACAGATAGATAGATATAGATATATCCCTCCTTTGATATATAAAATTTTAGAATTACAGAAGAGTTGTAAAAATAGTACAGTTTCCATCCATCCTTCATCCAGCTTCCCTGAAGGCCATGGTTTTTTCGGTCTTTGGGTCATCATTGTCAAATTCAAATCAACTGAACTGCAACACGGTAGGGACACAGAAAGAAAACCAGCTAATATTTTAATAGTACCTCACATGGGTGGCTTTCCCCCTTGGTGGAGGCTCTCGGCTGCCCCCTCACACTTTTCCTGTTATTACTGATTATTTCCTCCATACATAGCACAGGCACTGACCACAGATCTACACTGTTGACATAACAGATAGACCAAGGACTCTTAATTTTGCTGGGTCCTCGATGAATTTAAAGAATTGCCCCTTTCCCTAGAAAATGCAGAGGTAAACAATCCCATGTAATTCAGGCAGTTTGTAGACCCAGGGTACCGCTCTTGTCTGTTTTATTGTTTGAAAGCTAACGATTGCAGTCTGACCTGCTAACCTCACTCACTATCTTTTCCTCAATCTTCATAGGGCTTCTCCACACCACTAACCCCGGGAAGGCTGCCAAGGAATTAGAGCCACTCCTCCCAAGACACAGCTTTCAACCACTGAATTGTTGGTTTGGGGCTGCGGAAATGGCTGTTTGCCAAAGAATACATGTTACTGCCACCAGGACAATCTCATCAGGCAGTGAGGACAGTGGATCCACGGCTCCCACCATGTCAAATCCATTACTTCTGGGATTTCCTGACAAAGGGGCAGCCCAGTCAGCTCCTCAGTTACGTACTTGCTGAAGGTCAATCCACTTATCCATACAGACCCCAGTGACTTCTCACAAATTAGTATTTATGAGCCTGATATCCTGTCCAATCTAAACATTCTACGTGGAATGTAGCTGGTTTCTTTCTTGATAAACTGAAAGTCTGAACTTCTCAGGCTAATATTCTACTAGGGGATCAGGTGGTTATTAATGAAATCACAACACCTAACAAAGGTCTTAAAAGAGAATCAGAGGACAGTTGGTCCTTGAGTTACTCCAAGCAAGAGAGTGAGCCCTCTTCGGGTAATATAAGAGCAACATGTTGATTGCCTTTTCAAATATTAATGGGTTAAAAAAAACAGGCTATTTTCAAAAATACTCACATTTCAAAAATATAAAATTAGTCTATCCTCAGCATCATATGATGAAAAGAACTCAGGCTTTGGAATTAAACAAATAAACCTGAGCTTGGATGTGCCCCTTGACTGAGTTGTGCAACTTTGCTTATCTTCTTCTGTAAAATGAGGAAATAATGCACATGAAAAAGCACTATGATGAAGATGAAATGTGGCAAATGTGCACAAGGGACTTTGCAGCAAGGACTAACTTAATGAATCTTACTTCTCTTTCCCCTAAAATTCTTTCCACAACTCCCAGGTATCCAGCAGCAAGAAGGTAGACAAATTTACAACTTAAGACACATCAAATTTTGAAACATATTTAAAATTTAGGGAATGTAAGCGATTAAGAATGCAAATCTCTATGTATGTCAGCTATTCAGAAGTCAACAAAGAACACTTAAAATACACCTAACAGCAAAAGACCTAAATAGACATTTCTCCAAAGAAGACATACAGATGGTCAAGAAGCACATGAAAAGCTGCTCAACATCACTAATCATTAGAGAAATGCAAATCCAAACTACAATGAAGTATCACCTCACACCAGTTAGAATGGGCATCATCAGAAAGTCTATAAACAACAAATGCTGGAGAGGGTGTGGAGAAAAGGGAACCCTCTTGCACTGTTGGTGGGAATGCAAATTGATACAGCCGCTATGGAGAACAGTATGGAGGTTCCTTAAAAAACTAAACAAAGAATTACCATATGACCCAGCAATCCCACTACTGCGCACATACCCAGAGAAAACCATAATTCAAAAGGACACATGCACCCCAATGTTCATT